TTACATTTCCACCCCTAATTACACTTAACAACAAAATTCCCTCAAAATTACTAAACTTCACCATGCACATAGAGAATATGATCATTCAACCTCGTATATTACCCACGCCTGATTATGTCCTGAATAATTTCTGTCATGTTCATCGCAACCCGAGGGTTCAGAATAAATCTTCCGCCTCGGTTGAAATTGTTTGAATTTTCGAAGCGGTAATTAGCAGCCTAGTCACCGTCTAAACAACAGTTTCGCATGTCACGACTCCCTTTCGCATGTTGTAAGTCAACCACGAGCTCGGCCTGGAAATTTTAGCCTGCGGGTTCGATACTCAGCTAACTCTCTTCCTCACCCTCCGTGCAAACTTCCCCCGTTGCATTTTCTATCCTCCCCTTATTCTGCCCTACTGAATAACTCCGAGAGAAAACTTTCGTTGGCAAGCGCGCTGGAATACGAGCAGGGAATATGAGAAAAGGCTGCCGGGAAATTGGATACGGGGAATACACATTTTGGACTTTAGAGAATAGTTGTTATTTAGAGACTGGTTAAGTTTTTGAAAGGGAAAGATTTTTGTAGGAGGGAATTAGGGAGTTTGTGGATTAGGAGATTTTACGATTTGGGGATTTAGGGATCTGGGGGATTTAGGGACCTTGAAAGTATTGGAAATTTGGGGGAGTGGGATGAGGGAGATTGGAGAGGAGGAGATTTCTTGGGGAGAGATTTGGAGATTTAGGGATTTACAGGGGTGGGAATTTGGGGAGTTGGGGATTTAGGGATTTACAAGGGTGAAAATTTGGGGATTTGGGGGATTTGGAGATTTGGGGATTTGCGGATTTGGGGATTTACAAGGGTGGAAATTTGGGGATTTGGGGATTTAGGGATTTACAAGAGTGGAAATTTGGAAATTTGGAATTGGAAGATTGGGAATCTGGGGATTTGGGAATTTGGGAATTTGAGAATTTGGTGATTTAGGAATTTAGAAAATTGAGAATCTGGGGATTTGGGAATTTGGGGATTTGGGAATCTGGGGATTTAGGAATTTGGGGATTTGGGGATTTGGGGATTTGGGAATTTGGGAATTTGGGGATTTAGGGAATTACAAGGGTGGAAATTTGGAAATTTAAGGATTTGGGGATTTAGGAATTTGGGGATTTGGGGATTTATGGATTTAGGGATTTACAAGTGTGAAAATTTGGAAATTTTGGGTTTTGAGGATTTAGGGATTTACAAGGGTGGAAATTTGGGGATTTGAGAATTTGGGGATTTAGGGATTTACAAGAGTGGAAATTTGGAAATTTTGGGATTTGGGGATTTGGGTATTTGGGAATGATTAGATTTGTAAATATGAAATTTGCAGCTTTAGAGAGCTCTTCCCATATCCCAAAATTCCCATATCCCAAAATCCCTATATCCCTATATCCCTATATCCCTATATCCCAAAATCCCTACATCCCAAAATCCCTACATCCCAAAATCCCTACATCCCAAAATCCCTACATCCCAAAATCCCTACATCCCAAAATCCCTACATCCTAAAATCCCTATATCCCAAAATTCCTACAATTCCCATATACCAATATATCAAAGAATATCAGAATCGTGAAAGATCAATACGTTCAGTTATTTGGACATTCGTCTATCAGAATCCGGGGATGTAGCTCAATCGCTCACAGAGAATTTTCCGTACATCCGAGTGGCAAGCGAAGATGCACACGACTTGCAAAAATCGATCGCACTTCGAATTACAACACGCTTAACACATGTTGTTAATTAGCGCGACATTTAAACGTCTCCCGAAAAGCATCGCCGCACCGCTTCATCGAACAACTGCGTACCTTTCCCAAACTACGAAGGGAATAACGAGCGTCCTTCGGTGGTTTTCTTTTTTCGCGTGTAATGAAAAACTTGTCGGATTACCACGGTCCCGTGATTTCCAGTTTATTTTTACATCGGCACCAAAATAGAAGTTAGAAGACGAGAAACACACGCGTTGCAACGACGCGAATCGTCGAAAAAGCCGGTCGCGTTACGTCGTGTTTGTTTAACGATTTCGCTCCGTAAATCATGTACGGACTCCTTCGGAGCCGATGAAAAAAATCGCACGTGGACGAGCGTACACTTGCGTCGGAAATAAAATTCGAACGAGACAACGGTGATGTAAGAGAAAAATGCGGGACGATCGCGTATGAATCTCAACACGTGTTCGAGGTTACTTCACCGTCGATCTTCACTCACCACTCGGTTGTCTCTTTTTTCGGGTGTCGTCGGAATTGTCGAAACAGAATCCCGTTGGTTATGCGCTTTCTCGCGTGATCGGTGGACTTGCAAAGAAACTGACTAACGTGGATCCAGCATCTACACACGATGCCGGTCGGTCCGACACTGGTCGTACACCTACTACTTGCTGTGTGGCTTCGCAGCGGGAGCTGAACACTCAGTGGGGGTAGCAGCAACAAATGGAACGAAGGACTTGCAGGGAAAATACGACGGCGGAAAGACAAGGGAACTAAAGGGAATAATACCCTTGTTCTTCCCTGTGGTGTCGCTCGAGTTGCATTCAATTTTTATTCGTCTGCGATTTACGATGAAAAAATTCGTCTGTGACCTTCTGCTCTATTTTAGAAAGCTAACCCTTGCACTCGGAAGGTGAACATTCGATATTGTGTTTGATATAATTATTTGAAATAAATATTTTTTAACAACATATGTATGTTCGTATGATGTGTGAACGTGTGTAGAAATTTGTATATTTACGCGTATGATGTGTGAACATATGTGGAAATCTATATATTTATAAGTGTGATGTATGAGCGTATGTAGAAATTTGTGTATTTACACATATGATGTATGAGCATATGTAGAAATCTATGTATTTGTACGTATGATGTATGAGCGTATGTAGAAATTTGTATATTTGCACATGTGAAGTATGAACATATGTAGAAATCTGGATATCCAGATGTATGATGTGTGGACATATGTAGAAATCTATATCTTCATACATATGATGTGTTAACATATGTAGAAATCTATATCGTCATACATATGAAGTATGAACATATGTAGAAATCTATATCGTCATACATATGATGTGTTAACATATGTAGAAATTTATGTATTCATACATATGAAGTATGAACATATGTAGAAATCATATCTTCATACATACGATGTGTTAACATATGTAGACATTTATATATTTATACATATGATGTATGAACATAAGTAGAAATTTGTATATTTGCACATATGAAGTATGAACATATGTAGAAATCTAAATATCCAGATGTATGATGTGTGAACATATGTAGAAATCTATATCGCCATACATATGAAGTATGAACATATGTGGAAATCTATATCTTCACACATATGATGTGTGAACATACATAGAAATCTATATCTCCATACATATGAAGTATAAACATATGTAGAAATCTATATATTCATACATATGAAGTATGAACATATGTAGAAATCTACATATCCACACGTACGATGTGTGAACATATGTAGAAGTCTACATAGTCAGACTATTAATAAAATAGTACACAAACTAGTACCAGAATAGTAGAATAATGAAACACTATTAGAATGAAATAATAAAACCTAACAACCTAACGAAACAGAAGGTGAAACAGGTGAAATATCAACTAAAATAATAAAATTCCACAGTGACAAACATGATAAACACTTATACTTCTGCACAAATAACCATAAAAACAGTTAAAAGTAGTTGTATAATACAAAATAAATATTTCTCAAGGAAAGTATTAATTTTAAGGACAAATATAATAGTAACTCAATATGCAAGTTGTCAAAGTTCTTTATTTTCATGCACAAATCGTAGCAATGCAATGCGGTCAAACAAGCTGAAAATAAATTGGCATTTCAAGACTCAACTGAAGTACAAGATCATTAAATCCTATGCTTTTCTAAAATTAGATCGGTTCGTTATCATCAAACAAAAGACTCAAACTCTTGAATGACGAGAACTATGTGGCCTTTGGTGATTTCGAGTAAATCTGCCTGTTTGCGAATTTCTTCTTCAAGAAGTCAAAACAGTCATTTTCTTTTGTTGTACAGTTATAGACAATTCTTAATTGTGCTATTTTCAAGCTGGTGTTGAGAGTTGTATATGATGAGTGTATTGTGGATATGGACATTTTGGGATTTGGGGACATGTGAAGATTTGGGGATATGTGGATTTGCGGACATGTGGATTTGGGAATATATGGATTTGGGGATGTGAAGATTTAGGGACGTGGATATTTGGGGATATGTGGAGACTTGGGGATGTCGAAATTTGGGCATATGTGGATTTGGGGATGTGGAGATTTGGAGACGTGTGGATTTGGGGATATGTGGATTTGGGGATATGTGGATTTGGAGACGTGTGGATTTGGGGATATGTGGATTTGGAGACGTGTGGATTTGGGGATATGTGGATTTGGAGACGTGTGGATTTGGGGATATGTGGATTTGGAGACGTGTGGATTTGGGGATATGTGGATTTGGAGACGTGTGGATTTGGGGATATGTGGATTTGGAGACGTGTGGATTTGGGGATATGTGGATTTGGAGACGTGTGGATTTGGGGATATGTGGATTTGGAGACGTGTGGATTTGGGGATATGTGGATTTGGAGACGTGTGGATTTGGGGATATGTGGATTTGGAGACGTGTGGATTTGGGGATATGTGGATTTGGAGACGTGTGGATTTGGGGATATGTGGATTTGGAGACGTGTGGATTTGGGGATATGTGGATTTAGAGACGTGTGGATTTGGGCATATGTGGATTTGGGGATATGTGGATTTGGAGACGTGTGGATTTGGGGATATGTGGATTTAGAGACGTGTGGATTTGGGCATATGTGGATTTGGGGATGTGGAGATTTGGAGACGTGTGGATTTGGGGATATGTGGATTTGGAGACGTGTGGATTTAGAAATATATGGATTTAGGGATGTAGAGTTGCATTCATTGAGAGATATGAAGAATTGCGGACGTAGACCCTAATCTAAATACATCAACTCTCAAAAACTATTAACATCTCCACATACGAATCTAACATGAATCCCCAAGACATAAGTCCTACATGAAGTTACAAGACTTTACATATAACACATAGATTCAATTCCAAGTAAACACACTACACAAATATTAAACAACGAACGACCATCAATATTTTCCCCCCTGCTTACTCTTCCTCGTTCTCACTACCACCGACCAATAATTCAGCCCAGAAAACCACCATCGACAGAAAAAACCCACAGGTCACAATCGGTATCAGCTTCCCCACCAACGACGGCTTGCTATCATCATTCACGTTCATCAAATGCGTCTTCCTCACCGAAAATTTACCAGTAAAATCCATGTTCCACTTATGCTGCAACCCGGACTGTTTCAACCGCATCACGATCAGCGACAATTTCTCAACAACCGGCGAGTTCTTCTTCGTATAATACGCGGCCAGCGGTTTCGCGTAACAAAGATTACTGCAGACGACCATACTATTCTCCCCCTTCTTCCAGTACGAATAAATCATCACATCCGCAAATTTCCTCTCCATAAAGCAAGTAACATTCTTGTACCTCGCCAAATTATAAAAGCAGTCGCTCATGTTCGTGATAGGCACCGTCTTCTTCTTCAACCCAACAAAATACGGATCATCGTTATTCTTAAAAGTCACGTTGTACACCGGTTTCAATATTTGTGGTATCAGCCCGGAGTCTTCTATATCCTTGAAGTCCTTGTACACCGTCTGCTCCGAGCCCTTAATATGCGACGTGGTGAGGTCCGCGTACAGGTTCGTCGACAGAACCGACGACGCCAGAAAAATAGCGAACAGCAAAATCCTCTCGATGGCTCTCCTAGATTTAATCGGCACCGACAGGCAGAGTATCATGCCGAAGATCTTCAGCGGCTGCCAGTACCTTCGGTCGAGCTTCAGCATACGCGATATGGCCCAGAACGACAGGACGATTACGTAGTTCACGACCGTACCGATGATGGCTTGCGTCTCGATCAGTTTCGACGTGTAACTGATCGGCACGACCGCGCACCAGTGCTCGTGGTGCAGAGGCAAGGTGTACTCGCTGGACATGTTGGAACTGAAAATGGGTAACGACAACGAAATATCGATGTCCTCGACCGCCATCGTGCCGTGCAAGGAAAAATCGACGGTCGGAACTTTGTACATGTTCGGGGTGAAGTTCAGAACCTTGCTGAAGGTATTTAGCATCTTCGCGTCTGGGCCTCTGATCTTCACGACGCGACCTTGCGAGTCGGTGATCACGGCGGGAATGGCGGCTCTGGGGAAGAGCAGTATTTTCATAGGGTTACCGTGGAGGTTCTTCGCCTTGTCGGGGAAGAATTCGATGCCCGAAGTGTACACTTGTCGGTCGTAGTCCTTCGAGAAGGGGTTGTATCGATGCAACATTATTTTTTGCCTCTCTTTATTCTCAAATCTTGGTAGCTCCAGAATCGCCACGTTGATCAGCTGTTTGCGCCACAGTTGCACAAAAAGGGACTCAAAATTACAGTCGCGTTCTTCGAGAAAAGTCATCAGAAGAACCTTCTGACGAGTCTCCTCTCGCGAAATCACGTTCGCGATCTCCTGCGATTCGTTCACGTTTGGAGAACTCTTCGAGAAGAAAAGATAGAATATCAGAGTTCTTCGAGATACGTGGAACGACAGGTTCGTGTCGGAGCGATTTAAGTAAACGAAAGTGGTTGGAGAAGTTTGGACCACGATTCGGTACATGTCTTCGATTATTTCGGAGTTGTTGGAGGTGGGGTCGTGGACGATGAAGAGCACGTCCGAGGACTTTGATGTGGTTAATAATTCGCGGATCGGTTGATTTATGCTTGTTAGGTATTCCGTGTAGTTGAGTTGATGTATCGCCAAGAGGAACGTTGCGAGTGCCATGGCTGTTGGATTGTAGTCCAATTTGCTTGGGAGAAGTCAATTGTTCTGAAAGAAGGTTGGGTGTATGAATTATGGGTGCGGGCGAGCCAAAATTGAGAGGGGTCTTGTTTGGTGGTGTGGTTTGTTTGATTGTGAGAAGTGGAATTTAGGAGGTTGGGTATTTGGGGATTTGAGAGATTGAGAGTTTGGATATTTGGGGAATTTGGGAGTTTGGAGAATTTGAGGAATTTGAGGATTTGGAAGTTCGAGTTTTGGGGGATTTGAGAATTTGGGGAATTTGAGGGTTTGGAAGATTGGGTTTTGGGGAATTTGAGGGTTTTAGGGGATTTGAGAATTTGGGGGATTTGAGAATTTGGGGAATTCGAGGGTTATGGGGAATTTGAGAAGTTGGGGGATTTGAGAATTTGGGAAATTTGGGGAATTCGAGGGTTTGGAAGTTTCGGTTTTGGGAAATTTGAGAATTTGGGAAATTTGAGGGTTTGGAAGTTTGGGTTTTGGGGAATTTGAAGCTTTGGAAGTTTGGGATTTGGGGAATTTGGGGAATTTGAGGGTTTGGAAGCATGGATTTTGGGGAATTTGAGAATTTGAGAATTTGGGAATTTGGGATTTCTAAAAATTTTGGGGTTTTCCAAATTTGGGGATTTGAGAATTTGAAAACTAGGAAACTTGGGAAATTTCAAATTTTAGAAATTTAAAAATTTGGGAAATTTGAAAAGTTGGAGATGTAAGAACTGGAGAGCTTGGAATCTAGGGAATTGTAGAATTTAGAAATTTGGGGAATTTGAGAATTTAAAAATTTATAAACTTGAGGATTTGTAGTTTGGAAAATGTAAAAATTTAGGAATTTAGAAAACTTGAAAACTTGAAAACTTGAAAATTTAAAAAATTGAAAACTCGAAAACTTAAAAATTTGAAAACTCGAAGACTCGAAAACTTGGAAACTTGGAAACTTGAAAACTCGAAAACTTGAAAACTAGAAAACTCGACAACTTAACTTAAAAACTTGAAAACTAGAAAACTCAAAAACTCGAAAACTCAAAAACTCAAAAACTCAAAAATTCAAAAACTCAAAAACTCAAAAACTCAAAAACTCAAAAACTCAAAAACTTGAAAACTCGAAAACTTGAAAAATTGAAAACTGTATAAATACACATAGACTTTATAAATTGCATAATACGGCACAAAAACAGAAACAAAAGCCTTTGTTAAATTTAAATATTATTCCTTAGTTACCTCTATTCACCAGCACCACCAATAGCTAACTAACAGGTAAAAGACTAATAGGCGAAGGAATTCCTATTTAATTACATTGCACATTTAATTTTTCATAAGAGACGATCAATTATCTTTGTTGCAATAATAAAACAACTCATGTAAAGTATACGTGTATTGTGCATACTATGCTCTTTTACTTATACTGCGTTTATACGCGTTTCATTTACTTGATTGACCAACAAGATGTATATCGTGCTCCCGTTTTTTTCTACATCAATTTCCTTCTTTTTCTTTCCGTAGTTTGCGGAAATTATCTTGAATATTAATTAAGTTATTCTTCATTCTGTTGCGTAATTTGTTAATTAATTACGTTCTGTTAGGTTATTGTATTTTTTTGATTAATAATTTTTTTTAGTAATTTATGAGTTTGATGACTGGGTAATTTGCAAGGTTCTTTTAATTAATTGAGTTCTGTTGGGTTATTCTATTTTTCTGTTTTATTATATTTTTTATATTTTTACTAATTTAATAAGTTAATAGTCAATTATTACTAGTAGTTAATTTTTCATGTAGTTATTTCATTCATTCAATTAATTTTTAATTAATTTTAGTTACATTCATTTTATTTTTACAAATTTAATAATTATTATTAAATTATTGAATTATTGAATTATTGAATTATTAAATTATTAAATTATGAAATTATGAAATTATGAAATTATCAAATTATTAAATTATTCAATTATCAAATTATTAAATTATTAAATTATTCAATTATCAAATTATTAAATTATTAAATTATTCAATTATCAAATTATTAAATTATAAAATTATTAAATTATCAAATTATAAAATTATCAAATTATCAAATTATTAAATTATCAAATTATTAAATTATTAAATTATCAAATTATCAAATTATTAAATCATCAAACATTAAACTTTAATTATTAAATTTGTAAAAATATAATGAAACAAAAAGGTAGAATAACCTAATAAAATTTAATTAATAAATAGATCCTTAACAATGACCTAGTCATTAAATTCATAAATTACTTAAAAATTATTCCTCAAAATAGAATATCCTAATGAGAACCTCAATAATTCACTACTGATTAAATTTATAAATTCACAACCTTCAAAAATAAATTTCTTCATCTCCATATTGTGATAATGTTCAAAAAGAATTACTATTTACTATATCTTCAGTATAAATAAAATAAAACCTCAGACTACAAAATATCTAAATGTTCTATTCGTCAAATCCAAGTTAGTGTTCTGTTATTAATTTTGATGTATAGTTAATTTTATAGTTAACGCTCCGTTAATAATTCATGGATTAAACTTTGTTTGGCCGGCTATGAAGCAATACATCAGAAGTTTACACACGAGAATTATTTTAATAAAGTTGAAGGCTTCTTTCATTAGCGAATTATTCACCTGCAGACAATGTGCAGGCGTGATATCGAATTAACTCTGACAGCATCTTCCACTTATTGGTAATTTACACGTTCAATGCAAATTTCGCCGACAGTTATCTAGAAACCTACAAATGATCCTTGACGACGCATTACCCCTATAAGTATGTTGATCTTTTTTAATCACGATAATTGCGAGGCCTTCGTTTCACGGTGTCACTCTAGTTAACGTCATTATAAAAAATCCTCTTCGTCATATTATAAGCTGATTTCAAGGTTCACAAACACTCGTAATTGTTAGCAATTTTTATTCATATACGAAACATCACACGAATCTACAATCAAGAAACTAGATTAATTTCTTATACAAATAATTATTTAATCTTTGAACCTAATGTAACAAAAAGATATTTACACCAAGTTCAAAACGAGTGAAAGAAATTTTAAAACCTGAACTGTTATTTAATAATTACGATATAATCTTAATATCTTTACATTTATTAAGCGTATACATGTATGTCTTACTTGTCACGACACTAAGATCCGAAAGGAAAATTTCAAGCAATGCAATTGTGCATTCAAATCTCTCGCGAACCGGACGGACGTTGTTAGAGTGTTAAAATGTCATAAATATTACCTTATCGTACCTGTGACATATAAACAAATGAAGATGACAACACAACAATAAATGCGTATAAATAACGTACACAGCTATTATAGGAATAAAAAATATTAAACATCGCTCCATTTGTTTTTTGGCGTTCGAAAAAGCACAGCGGAATGTTGCAGCTTTCGAGCTACTTTAATTCGTACGAATAGTTTCATATAATTTCAAATTGAATTATGCGTTCTATGAACACAGTGCTGGATCAACACGTTGGACCCCATTCGATTTAGGTCCCCATTATTACTTCAAATATTATATTATTTCAAATTATTATAATATAATATTATCTTAATTTATTTTAACCCTTTGCGCTCGAAGGTAATTTGACTGTTTGCAAACAGCAACTTTAAAACTTATTTAAAAAGTTAAATGAATTTTTTTGAGGTTATTATTTCTCTACCAATAATTCCCACTATTGTTTGGTTGTAAAAAATGCTTATTTTAAATTATTGTATTAAATAAAATGGTGACTGAGAGCCACCTCTCGAGCGCAAAGGGTTAATAGTATAATATCTCAATTTTATAATAATATATTATTTCAATTTATTATAATAATATATTATTTCAGTTCATTATAATAATATATTACTTCAATGTATTACGATACATTTACCTGAAAGAAATTAGACCTCTGACAAAAATGTCCCACTTCACATAAAACAAAATTTGAAGATTCGAAAGATAAAAGTGCAGCTTGAAAGCAAGTGCATATCGATTAATCCAGCACCGCGTACGTCTCTAATTTCTAAGAAAGACTAGAGAAAAGCATGAAAGAAGAACGAGGATAAAATTCGGAAGGGAAGCGGCGACTCCGCTTCCGTCCCAGCAAACGTTAAGATTGCAACGATTAATTATGGGGCTGAATTTTTGCTTGAAGTATTCCCAGTCGCAGAGGCCTACGTCGCATCCGTCCAGCATTACCAGCTTCTCTGCCAAGTAAAACATTACTTTGTTTGGTTGAGTGTTTCCGTCGCATCTGTGAATCGAAATAGAATACTTTAGTGTGGCGGCCATTTTGTCGAAGCCTTTGAACATTTTAATGAATGTCTGTTTTATGAATAAGATTTTTTAACTAATTTGTTGAGGATGTTCTGTGAATGTTAAGGGAAAGATGATTTAACCAAGTGCAACTGTGTATGAAATCATAATTGATTTTAATAGTATTTTACTAGGTTATGAAGTAATAAAACAGTGGCAGCCATTTTGTCGTTCGAAAGGAACCTCTTGAACGTTTTATTAAATGTCTATTTTATGAATAATATTATTTAATTAATTTGTTAAGGATGTTCTGTGAATGTTGAGGGAAAGATGATTTAACCAAATGTAACTGTGTATGAAATTATAATTAATTTTAATAGTATTTAACTAAGTTATGAAGTAATAAAACACTGGCAGCCATTTTGTCGTTCGAAAGGAACCTCTTGAACGTTTTATTAAATGTCTATTTTATGAATAATATTCTTTAACTAATTTGTTAAGGATGTTCTGTGAATGTTAAGGGAAAGATGATTTAACCAAGTGCAACTGTGTATGAAATTATAATTAATTTTAATAGTATTTAACTACGTTATGAAGTAATAAAGTATTGACAGCCATTTTGTCGTTCGAACGAAACTTTTGAACGTTCTACTGAATTTCTATCTAGTGAATGATATTTTTTAACGAATTTGTTAACAATATTTTATCAAAATTAGTAAAAAGGTAATGGAACCAAATAACTGCAACATTTGTGTACAAAATTACAATTAATTTTGAAGTTAATAATATTTGAATGTTTCGCGTCTGTGAATTAATACAGAAACCTTAAGTCGGTCCGCCATTTTGCTGCACGAACGGAACCTCTTGAACGTTTCAATAAATGTCTACCTAATGAATGATATTTTTTAACGAATTTGTTAACAATATTTTGTCAAAGTTAGTAAAAAGGTAATGGAACCAAATAACTGCAACATTTGTGTACAAAATTACAATTAATTTTGAGGTTAATAATATTTGAATGTTTCGCGTCTGTGAATTAATACAGAAACCTTAAGTCGGTCCGCCATTTTGTTGCACGAACAGAACCTCTTGAACGTTTCAATGAATGTCTACCTAACGAACAATATTTTCTAACGAACTTATCAACAATATCTTGTTAATATCCACAGAAAGATAACTGAACCAAATGAGAACAAAATCACAATTAATTGAATTTGAATAGAAAATAGAATCCTTAATTCTGGCGGCCATTTTGTCGAACCCATTGAACATCTCAATGAACGTCTTACGAATGATATTTTCTAACAAATTTGCTAACAATACTAACATAAAGCACAAAATTAACGTAACAAAGTTACACAACAAACCAAATACATCTGCATAAAAAATCACAATTAACTGCATTACACACTACCGCATTAGTATTAATATTAACTACAGGAAGTTGCATTTCTCTCCAACAAAAAAAAAGAAAAACATCAGTTATACATAAGTAACAAGCACGATATAATTCCAATTAGTCTTACTTGTAGAAGACAGCGACAAGGTTAGCAGCGAACGGCGAAATAAAGGAAGTCCGCCATTGTCGTTTCGCCATATCCTTGTAATTAAAGGCAGTCGGTTTCATTTGATCCTTGTTGATGCCCAGCGTGGTGAGCAGATTCTGCAGGCTGATGATGTCGCTGAAGTAAAACACTCCCTTCGGTTCCATCGCGTTTTTATCCTGTTCCACTTTCCTGCGGAACGTATCGAATTATTTCTGATCCCGTCGCGAACGGATCTAAAGAGAATTACCAAAAGTGATTCATCATGTCTTGCAACAGCGTACATCCTAGCTGAGCATTGATTTCGCGACCGTATCCGGCCTTGTAATAGTAGTAGAGATCCTCGCGATATTCCAGCACGCGGAGCTCTTCCTTGCTGAAGACCGCACACCAAGGTGAAAGTTTCGTCACTGTCCAGGCCTTTTCGTAACGGCACATATCGTACATCGTTAAGACCGTCTCTGAAAAATTATGCTTGCGTCTAACATCGACATGATTGAATATTATCTGAAGGATTCGAGTGATATTGCGGTGTTCGATTTGGATGGATTGTTTTTGTATCCGGTTTGGCGGAAAGTTGCACGATAATGTCACTGTTTCTCGGATAAGGAGATGAGTCACGCAGAAATGAAATTCATGAATTACCGGCATGAAGAGGCTATTTGTAGATTACGTTGGTTGGTAAATATTAATAAATGCGTTGGAAATGTGTTTTTTTTTGTTTGGGAACGGATAGAAAGCGGGGTATGATTTATGGACGATGTAATGTATGGTATTTGTGGGATTGCATTGGATTGGAGACGGATAAATTATAGTGGGACTTGGAATTATTTGGGAATTTGGGGATTAGGGGATTTATAAGGGTAGAAATTTGGGGATTAGGGGATTTACGAGGGTGGAAGTTTGGAAATTTGGGGATTTGGGGATTTGAGGATATAGGAATTAGGGATTTGGGAATTTAGGGATTGAGGATTTGGGGATTTAGGGATTTGGGGATTTGGGGATTTAGGAATTTAGGGATTTGAGGATTTGGGGATTTAGGGATTTGAGGATTTAGGGATTTGGGGATTTGGGAATTTGGGGATTTGGGGATTTGGGGATTTGGGGATTTGGGAATTTGGGGATTTGGGGATATAGGGATTTCTAAGGGTGGAAATTTGGAAATTTGGGGGTTTGGGGATTTTGGGATTTACAAGGATGGGAATTTGGGAACTTGGGAATTTACAAGGGTGGAAATTTAGAAATTTGGGAATTTATAAGGGTGGAAATTTGGGAACTTGGGAATTTACAAGGGTGGAAATTTGGAAATTTGGAGGTTTGGGGATTTTGGGATTTACAAGAGTGGAAATTTGGGAACTTGGAAATTTACAATGGTGGAAATTTGAAAACTTGGGAATTTAGAAGGGTGGAAATTTAGAAATTTGGGAATTTATAAGGGTGGAAATTTGGGAACTTGGGAATTTACAAGGGTGGAAATTTGGAAATTTGGAGGTTTGGGGATTTTGGGATTTACAAGAGTGGAAATTTGGGAACTTGGAAATTTACAATGGTGGAAATTTGAAAACTTGGGAATTTAGAAGGGTGGAAATTTAAAAATTTGGGAATTTATTTGGGGATTTGGGGATTTGGGGATTTGGGGATTTGGGGATTTGGGGATTTGGGGATTTGGGGATTTGGGGATTTGGGGATTTGGGGATTTGGGGATTTGGGGATTTGGGGATTTGGGGATTTGGGGATTTGGGGATTTGGGGATTTGGGGATTTGGGGATTTGGGGATTTGGGGATTTGGGGATTTGGGGATTTGGGGATTTGGGAATTTGGGAATTTGGGAACTTGGGAATTTACAAGGGTGGAAATTTGGAAATTTGGGGGTTTGGGGATTTTGGATTTTACAAGGATGGAAATTTGGGGATTTAAAGATTTGTAGTGTTGAAGACTTAGGAGTTTGTGGATTTGGTAATTTGAGAGTTTGTGAACTTGGGATTTTGAGGATTTGGTGATTTGAGAGTTTGCAAACTTGGGAATTTGAGGATTTGGGGATCTAAGAGTTTCCAGACTTGGGAGTTAGAGGATTTGAGGATTTAGGAATTTGGAGATTTAAGGATTTGGTCATTTGGAGATTTAGAATTTTAGGATTTAGGGAATTGGAAGTTTGATAGAAAATTAGGGACATAGAAATTTGAAAATTTGTGGACTTGAAGCTTTGAGAATTTGAACAGTTCTAAACTTGGCAATCTGAGAACTTGAACATTTAGAAATATAGAAAATTGAGAATTTGGAGATTTAAAAATTCATGCAATTAGATATTAATGAATGTCAAACATAGAAAATTAGAAATTATTAACCTCAATAATATAAGAATTTCAGAATTTGTAAATTTAACAACGTCGAAGTACATTGATACGAAGATTTGCACTCTTCACTTGAGTCTAACAGTGAATCTAATTATGATAATGAACTACATATACTTCACTCGAGTCTAATGAATCTAATAATGATAATGAACTACATATGCTACATATGCTACATATTTCCGACACCAAGTAATATACATATCTCTAACAAAACCAATAAAATCACTTCTTACCTTTAGATATATTGTACAAAAATCCAAGACGTCTGCTAACGCTCATCATAAGACTCTGAAACTGCGGTCCCTCATCAAATTTATTCACTTCCTCCATAGAAATGTTGTTCTGTTCATTATCCCATTCATTGCAGCTCTTATAAGGCTAAAATAACAATTACACAAAACATTTTCAAAAAATCCTTTCACCATCAAACATTCATTACAAACATTCCAAATAACATGTGTCATGCATATCAAAAAGTTACTTACAGTGAGTAAAGTGTCGTTGACAGGAACTTCTTCGGCGTCCACAGCGTTTCTGTCCCCGAAGAGTCCCTCCATGAAGGACCCCATGGTGTCACGTGCGTCGGTTGTTTTAAACTAAACACCATTAATTAAATATTTCCATTAGTTAAATATTTTGTACTATTTGTGATATCATTTAATTTTCATTTCTTTAGTAATTGTATTATTTTTATTAATTTTCGGTTGTTTTAAACTAAACACCATTAATTAAATATTTCCATTAGTTAAATACTTTGTACTATTTGTGATATCATTTAATTTTCATTTCTTCAGTAATTGTATTATTTTTATTAATTTTTTTTTGGTACCATGTAATTGTCTGCAGTTATGTTATTCATACTGGTCTGCAGAAGCTGAGGAAAGTTACTCTGCAACCTTCTTGCTAGCAATTTCATATCTTCGACACCTTGAGGCGTTAACACTTCCGCTCTCTCGACGACCAGGTATGCGTCTGGTTTCCATCTTTTGAGGTTCTCTAAATCTTTGTTGCACATGCGACCCTCTGTGGAGAGAACAGAGTAGGCAGTCTTGAGATTTTTATATGTGATTGCGAATTTGAAGATTTGGGTGTCTGGGAGGGGAATTTGGGGGAAATTTGGGGATGTGAGGATGTGGGGTTTTGAGATGTGGATGTTGGGAAATTTGGGGATTTGGGGATTTGGGGATTTGGGGATTTGGGGATTTGGGGATTTGGGGATTTGGGGATTTGGGGATTTGGGGATTTGGGGATTTGGGGATTTGGGGATTTGGGGATTTGGGGATTTGGGGATTTGGGGATTTGGGGATTTGGGGATTTGGGGATTTGGGGATTTGGGGATTTGGGGATTTGGGGATTTGGGGATTTGGGGATTTGGGGATTTGGGGATTTGGGGATTTGGGGATTTGGGGATTTGGGGATTTGGGGATTTGGGGATTTGGGGATTTGGGGATTTGGGGATTTGGGGATTTGGGGATTTGGGGATTTGGGGATTTGGGGATTTGGGGATTTGGGGATTTGGGGATTTGGGGATTTGGGGATTTGGGGATTTGGGGATTTGGGGATTTGGGGATTTGGGGATTTGGGGATTTGGGGATTTGGGGATTTGGGGATTTGGGGATTTGGGGATTTGGGGATTTGGGGATTTGGGGATTTGGGGATTTTTGGGGATTTGGGAATTTGGGGATTTGGGAATTTGGGGATGTGAGAATTTGAGGATTTGAGAAGTTGGGGATTTGGGAATTTGGGGATTTGGGAATTTGGGGATTTGAGGATGTGAGAATTTGGGGATGTGGGAAATTAGGGATATGAGAATTTGGGGATGTGGGAAATTAGGGATGTGAGAATTTTGAGACGTGAGAAGTTGGGGATGTGAGGATTTGGGACGTGTAAATTTTGTATGTGAGGATTTGAGATGTGCAAGTTTAGGGATGTGAGAATTTGAGAATTTAAACATTTGGGGATCTGAGGATTTGGAACGTGTTAATTTAAGGATGTGAGCGTTTGTCATATGAGTATTTGAGGACATAGTGACGTGAGAGCTTTGTAATGTGAGAATTTAGAAATTTGAAAATTTGATCACATGAGAATTTGATAATTTGAGATTCTAAAAATGTAGTAATGTCAATAGTAATCTTAAAAGTATAGTAATGTCAAAATGTAGTAATGTCAAAAATGTAGTAATGTCAATAGTAATGTTAAAAGTATAGTAATGTCAAAATGTAGTAATGTCAAAAATGTAGTAATGTCAATAGTAATGTCAAAAGTGTAGTAATGTCAATAGTAATATTAAAAATATAGTAATATCAAAAAAAAACAGAAATGTCTAACTATAAAACTAAAAAAATTCATAAACAATTGCTTCATAAAAATATCCAAATTCGTTTCTTCTCTCTTCTCTCCTACACTTATCCTAATCTAAAAGAAGTCTATATGCACCGTTGCGCAACGCCGATAAAGAATCCATTGATACTATCGTTTACCAATAACACAAATGTATGTGTTCGTGATAAGCGATAGTGGTTCCAATTTACAAGCACAGGTATAATAAATCTTAGGTTAACGGCTGAGAAAGTAACTATTGATCGTCATGTGAAACAACGTGTGGCAAAGATCGATACGAAAAAGTGTCAATGACCTGAATTAACAGCGAACTATGTCACTCGCGTTCCCTTTCCTAGAAAACGTCGTTTCCTTGACAAGGTTCATTGAACGCTAAAACGCGAGTATTAGTCATCGATTTCGAGGAAGGAGACGATGTCCTTTGATATTCTTTCACTTACCATCTCGTGACTCGTGATTATTAAGTATCTGTGCTTGAACCTCGGTTAATTCGAGCATTCGTGTGATCTCCGTTTGCGACGCACATTGCGTGCCGTGTGTAGCAAGCATCCAAACTTGTTCCGCATGACAATCTGTAAAATAATTAAACGTTCGATAGTTTTGACACGTTCGTGCAGATGTATCTCGTGAAATGTTTAACTAAATGTATTTCCGGAGTCGTTGAAATTCATTTGCAGGGAAGTATAGTAGACTCTCGATATATTGCCATTTTTATGGTTCGATATTCGCGTTTTATTGCAAGTCGCGTTGTGTTAGATTGCGTTGGTTCGTCACGCGTTATATAGCCGTATGGTATATTGTCACGCGTTCTAGTGCCATACGTTATATTACCTCGCGTTATATAGCCATATTCAATTGCCACGCGCTGTATAGCCATGTGTTGGATAACTACACGTTATGTAGCACTCTTTAGATTACCACGCGTTGTATAGCCACGTATTAGATAACTACACGTTATATAGCCATGTGTCAAATCTCCTCGCGTTATATAGCCACGTGTCAAATCTCCTCGCGTTATATAGCCACGCATCAAATCTCCACGCGTTATATAGCCACGTGTCAAATCTCCACGCGTAGCATTGTCATACGTTAAATTATCACGCGTTGTCGTCCTACGCGTTAAATTACCACGCGTTATATTGCCACGTGTTATATTGCCACGCGTTATATGGCCACGCATCAAATTTCCAAGCATTGCATTGTCATACCTCAAATTACCACGTGTTGGATTCCTGCACGTTAAATTGCGATGCGTTATATTGCCTCACATTATATTGCCACGCGTTATATTACCACGCACTATATTGCCAATTATTATATTATCACGCGTTGCATTGTCATACATTAAATTACTATGCGTTTTATTCTTACTTGTTGAATTACCACGCATTATATTGCCTCGCATTACATTGCCACGCGTTATATAGCCCCGCATCAAATTTCCAAGCATTGCATTGTCATACCTCAAATTACCACGTGTTGGATTCCTGCACGTTAAATTGCGATGCGTTATATTGCCTCGCGTTATATTGCCACGCATTATATTGCCAATTATTATATTATCACGCGTTGCATTGTCATACATTAAATTACTATGCGTTTTATTCTTACGTGTTGAATTACCACGCATTATATTCCCTCGCATTATATTGCCACTTGTTATATAGCCATGAATTAAATTACCACGCCTTGCAGTGTCATACATTAAATCATTACACATTGTATTCTTACGTGTTGAATTACCTTGCATTATATTGCCTCGCGTTATATTGCCACTTGCTATATAGCCACTTGTTATATAGCCACGTGTTGAATTATTATGCGTTGCATGGTCATACGTTAAATCAACATACGTTATACTCTTATGTATTGAATTACCACGTGTTATATTGCCTCCCATTATATTGCCACGAATTATATCATATATTATACTATCACGCGTAATATACTCATACGTTATATCGTCACGATTATATCGTCATTATACATCGATTTGATATTGCAATATAACGAGAGTCTATAATAGTCTACAAAACTTACTTGCATTGCAATATAACAAGAGTCTACAAAACTTACTTTACCTCAGAATATAAATAAAAATTAGGTTATAGAAATATAATGTCTATAACAGAAAATGTTTCCTCTACAAATTAATAAACTCCTCACGAAACGTTATAATAATATACTTACTAGGCACATCCTGAAATCTTGTTTTACCAGCATGAACGAAATGGTAGGCAGTCTTTGTGGCCATGTACAAATATGGGTCATCTTCGTCGACGAAACAAAAGTCAACGTCGCGAGCGTAAACGTGACTTACAATGAAAATCGCGAATAACAAATACACGTTCCTCATGGTTGAAGTCTTGTTCTGCAACGAGAGAGATTAATATGTATTCATTGATGTTCAATTTACTAATAGGGAACGATAAGTGACTGGTCACTTTAAAATGCAAAACCATAGACGACAGTCGGTGAATGAAAATATGTCACGTTTGTTTTTGCATACGTGATCGTTTGTACGGGTATCGATTTGGTAAGTCCGAGATTCAAATTCCGCTCGTAACATTTTGAAGTCATAGCTTTGTTCCATACCGGAGTATGGCAAGCGGTAAACCTACATTTTCCTGTGCTGATGTCACGTGTTACTTTATTACCGGCTTTGTAAATTGCAGCTAACTAAACGTGAAGTCTTACGTAACCAGGAAAATTATTTATTTCTCATTTTACGTGATTAAGTAAAAGAACAAAAAAATGAGGAATAATCGAACTATCCTTGCATTCCTCTTATGTAATGATCGATAAACGGAGAACGGGGACAAAGAAGATATGCAAAACTCGTAAATATTTTTATGCATTCCCATAAATAACATTTTAAACTTCCTTATTTATCTCTACTCTCCAATTTACGATTTGACAAGCACTTGATTTACGAACGATCCGCCAACAGATACATCAAGGTTAAGGATAAATGAGAAACGTTCACATGAACGAGAAATTAAGATGTGTTCGTGTATTTCTCCGGCGAGCAGGCATATTGCATAATTTCCGAGCAACAAGCAGGTACATTCAAAGTTGCAGCTTTCATTACGAGATTATTAATGTTGCAAACAGTCTCGATGCGAGACACGAAACTCGCGGTTGGAACTGTAACCTCTTTTGTACGATACATGCTAATTTTCCGAACCTAACACCATTAAAACTGTTCATAAACTGCCTTCACACAAAATCAGTTCGGTATGCTTTGCTTACACGTTATTGGCGAATTTTGTTTGCTTTGACCGTGTTAATTTTTTTTGGAGAAGGTTATTCTTTTTATTAATGTACTGAGAATAATTAACATGGTAAGTCAATGTTACAGGTACAAGTTTAATGTAATTATTGCAAATTTCGAATGGAAAATTATTTTATGTAAACTCAAGTATAGACATTTTCTGTAAACTTCAAATATAGTCATTTTCTATAAACTTCAAATGCAGTCATTTTCTATAAACTTCAAATACAGTCATTTTGTATAAACTTCAAATGCAGCCATTTTCTATAAACTTCAAATGCAGCCATTTTCTATAAACTTCATATGCAGCCATTTTCTATAAACTTCATATGCAGCCATTTTCTATAAACTTCATATGCAGCCATTTTCTATAAACTTCATATGCAGCCATTTTCTATAAACTTCAAATGCAGCCATTTTCTATAAACTTCATATGCAGCCATTTTCTATAAACTTCAAATACGACGCCATTTTATCTAATCGAATATAAAATTATTTTAAGCAATTTTTAAGTGTAAAATAATTTGGTACAAGCTTCAAGTACAAAATCATTTAATATAGCCTTTGAATGCAAAATTATTTTAAATGAACTTAAACTAAAAAATTATATATGATCTCCATATATGAAATAACTCGACATAACCTATAAACACAAAATTATTTAAAATAACCTTGCAATAATTTTGTGATCAAAATTTATTTAAAATGACGTTGTACTTGTAGGTTATGTCAAACTATTTCATATTTGAACAATGTGAATAATATGAAACACGCGAATATGAATAATACGAAACATATGAATATGAAAAATATGAAACATATGAATATGAAAAATATGAAACATATTCTCATATGTTTAATACAAAATAATTTCATATCTGAACATACAAAACAATTTCATGACATCAAATTTCAAACACGAAGTTTGCAATATTTTGTCACAAGAATATATATAATAATAAAATTATTTTAGCCTTCTACAATGAACCCCCGATGATTCAGTCTCTCCACGGTATTTCTCTCGTGAAACTGTTAAATCACGCGGAGGTAGCTCTACAAAAAACAATTCGCGAACGACGTTCGAATGACAGTCAATATTCGCGTTGTCACAGAATTTTGTCACGGAAAAAGATTTGCGAGGAATCATTAAGAACCTATGAAGGCGGAATGCTGTTGAAAGAGCAATTCAAGAGTAAGTAAGGTTGACGATAGCGTAATTGCTGGTGGCTCGATTAGCGAAGCGTTCTTTCAGTCTAATAAGTCTACTTGGCCTACTTATTGTTAATGTCTTGTGTCCGCAAGTGACAAATGTCGCGCACGAATGCTGCGGCAAAAATCTCGAAAATCCTTTCGACGATATCGCTCGAATGTCACCGTTTTCTTACGTTCCGAATAAATTATTGCTTCCTTGGGAAGTGACATTTCATTCGAATACACGTGTAATTTTCGTGTCGTCGAGGATCGGTGATTTGGAGAATTGAAAGTAATAGTCAAGTTAACTCGAAACGTTGTACGAGAGAAGGACGAACATTTTACTGCTCGTTATGGTGTTTCGTGAAATTGATGGATTGGGCTGGGATGTGTTTTGTTTCGGGTGGTGAGATATATGGAAATTTGGAAATTTGGGGATTTGAGGATTTGGAGATTTATGGACTTCCAAGGGTGGAAATTTGGGGATTTAAGGATTTACAAGGGTGGAAATTTGGGGATTTGGGAATCTAGGAATTTTCAAGGGTGGAAATTTGGAGATTTAGGGATCCAGGAATTTTCAAGGGTGGAAATTTGGGGATTTGGGGATTTAGGGATTTGGGGATCTGGGGATCTAGGGATTTTCAAAGGGTGGAAATTTGGAGATTTGGGTATTTGGGGATCTAGGGATTTACAAGGGTGGAAATTTGGAGATTTAGGGATTTAGGGATTTAGGAATTTGAGAATTTGGGAATTTGGGGATTTGGGAATTTGGGAATTTGGGAATTTGGGAATTTGGGAATTTGGGAATTTGGGAATTTGGGAATTTGGGAATTTGGGAATTTGGGAATTTGGGAATTTGGGAATTTGGGAATTTGGGAATTTGGGGATTTGAGGATTTGGGGATTTGGGGATTTTCAAGGGTGGAAATTTGGAAATATGGGAATTTAGGGATTTATGGATTTACAAGGGTGGAAATTTGGAAATTTGGGAATTTAGGGATTTATGGATTTACAAGGGTGGAAATTTGGAAATTTGGGAATTTAGGGATTTATGGATTTACAAGGGTGGAAATTTGGAAATTTGGGAATTTAGGGATTTATGGATTTACAAGGGTGGAAATTTGGAAATTTGGGAATTTAGGGATTTATGGATTTACAAGGGTGGAAATTTGGAAATTTGGGAATTTAGGGATTTATGGATTTACAAGGGTGGAAATTTGGAAATTTGGGAATTTAGGGATTTATGGATTTACAAGGGTGGAAATTTGGAAATATGGGAATTTAGGGATTTATGGATTTACAAGGGTGGAAATTTGGAAATTTGGGAATTTAGGGATTTATGGATTTACAAGGATGGAAATTTGGGGATTGAGGGATTTACAAGGGTGGAAATTTGAAGTTTGGGGTTTGGGAAATTTGGAAGCTTGAAAATTTGGGAGTTTAGGGATTTAAGAGATTGGATATTGGGGCTTTGGAGGTTTGGAAATTTGGAGAGGAGTGGATCTTGGAAATTTGAAAGTTTGATGGTATTTGGTAATTTGAAATTTGGTATTTGGGAAATTGGAAACTTCAGAATTTAAAGACATAGATTGATACCCATCAATTTTCCAAATTTGATGACTTAGAAATTAATATGTAATGAACATTGAGAATCCATATTTAAATTTGAGAAGCTTATTTTTAACAATTTAATCTAACCGTGCCCCCAAAAATTTCACCTGAATAACCAAAATAATCACTGCGATAATAATTAAAGTATATGTAACTTAAATATTTAATTTTTTTCACTAATTTGACATTTTATAATAAAATTAACTAATCAGTATTAATAAGGACAACCGCTGACTACAGGTATCCTCAAAGATCTCCTAAAATCACTAATCATTTTAATAAAACTTTACCATGTCTGCAAACACTAAAAATTGACAATGTCTCTTTAAAAAGTTTACTTAATAAATTTAGATATCGACTAAAAGATTGTCTGACTTCACAGCCAATTAACAGGAGATAACTCGGTCCATCAGAAACGAATAAGCCTTAACAAGCTAAATAAAATAAATCAGCGAACACAGTGCTACATTATCATGTGTCACAAAAACACATTACATCAGCAAGCTAATAATAACCACGCAAATAACGCATAATTAAAGTAATAAAAATACAATAATTTACAAAGACTACAATCCTCATACGATAATCCACATCGAATTTCAACAATAATCATAAAGTAATTGATTTTCGAACGTACAGTAATTTACAAAGACTACAAGACTCAATAATTCGTCAGGTCGATTTTCTCGAAGAGAATTCTCGATCGATAACTTCTTTGTTCGATCGGAACCCGAACCGAAGGAGAACAAAACAGTTTACTCTCGCACAGTAATTTGTACTTGATAATTGAGAACAAAAGTAGGACGTTACGCTCCGCGATCACCACCAACGATTTAATTATTCCGAGTTTATATATATTCAAATGAAATTCCTCCTTGATGCGTAAGCGACATTCCATCGCAACCTGAATGAAAATAAATTTCGTGTTGTCGGGTCATCGCACCCATGACCTATCGCAAACTCTTTTACACCCATGTTCAAGTTTTACCATAAAATCCTCCAAAGCAACCTAATTCTATTATCTACAAGCTTCTTATTATTTACAAGGAATTACCGTAACAAAGCCGGTATTTAATCGTAGGACCTCTACAGCAAACTTTTCACTTTTTCAAATTCAGATCTTCCCAAACACAAGATCCATTCTCCGGAAGTTGAAATTCCGCGGTCGCCGATTTTTCGAGCGATGGCAAATCAATGGCACAGTATCACCGTGAAAATGTTTAACGAACCGAGAAAAAGATCATGGAACTATTTCTGTTTTATATGCCGATCGCGACCACCTTTCGAGGCGGCAGCTCGTGTGCCACTGCCGTAAGGTCGTCGAGCTTCGTTGCGTCTGGCGTGTATGTATACTGTGTAAAAGTCGGTATAGTTTCAACGACAGCCGACCACCTGAATAGTGTATTGCAGTTTGAAGCCTTTGATCCTGGGACTGGCACAACCCACTGTTTCGTGCGTTCTAGAAAATCGTGAAGGTTCGTTACTTTGAACGCGGTCGATAATCAGTTGAGGGTAACATGACCCCCTGGGTTGCGTGAAAATTCTGTAGAATGTTCTTCATGCACGCCTGCACTTTTTTATTGTTACTCATGGTTTATCGTATTTATAAATTATATTGGAAAATTTTGTTATTTTGCACTGGGGTTACGGGGGTGGGGATCGGTTTTAAGTTTGAGGGGTTTAGGGGGTTTGGTTGAGGGATTTGAGACAGGTTCTGTAGAATGTTCTTTACAGATGCTTTGTTTTTTTTGTTGTTACTAGTGCACTGTATTTTTAAATAATATTTGAAAATTTTTGTACTAAATTTTATTATTTTGCACTGGGGTTACGTGGGTGGGGATCGGTTTTAAGTTTGAGGGGTTTAGGGGGTTTGGTTGAGAGATTTGGGACAGGTTCTGTAGAATGTTCTTTACAGATGCTTTGTTTTTTTTGTTGTTACTAGTGCACTGTATTTTTAAATAATATTTGAAAATTTTGGTACTAAATTTTATTATTTTTGTTAGTTTGAACGCGGTCGATAATCAATTAAGGGTAACATGAACCCCTCACTTGCGTGAAAATTCTGTAGAATGTTCTTCATACACGTTTTAGGTCTTTTGTTGTTACTCAGAGTGCACTATATTTGTAAATAATATTTTTTGAATTATGTTTGATAATTTTGGTATTACATTTTGTTATTTTGTATTGGGGTTACACGGGTGAAGGTCGGTTTTAAGTTTGAGGGATATAGGGGGTTGAGGGGGGTGCTGGTTGAAGGATCTAGAAGAAGTATGATTTTTGAGAATTTTTAGAGACGTATTAGAATTTTTAGATTTGAGTTAAGGTTGCAGTTTTGTAGCTTGGTTTATGATTGTGAGGGAAATTGCAATGGCGAGGGTGTGGTACACGAAACGTGCACACGCTAGACACTGATGGATAGAGACGATTTTTTGTGTTGATGTTTAGGAATAAGGAATATCAAGTTTTTGTGTTTTTAGAGTTGTGGTGGAAAATGTTAAATTGTTAAATTGTGAAATTATTAAATTTTCAAGTTTTCAAATTATGAAATTATGAAAGTATTATATTGTCAAATTATGAAATTATTATATTGTCAAATTATGAAATTATTATATTGTTAAATTATGAAATTATGAAATTATTATATTGCCAAATTACGAAATTATCAAATTATTAAACTGTGAAATTGTCAAGTTATCAAATTGTCAAATTTTCAAATTATCAAATTGTTAAGTTTATGAAATTACCAAATTGTCAATGTCAAATTGTTAAGTTATCAAATTGTCAAATTGTCAAGTTATCAAATTATCAAATTCTTAAACTATAAAATTGCCAAATTAATAAACTGTCAAATTATCAAATTATCAAATTAATTTCCAAATCCTCAGGTTTTTAAATTTTAAATACCTAAATCCCTCAAATTTCAAATTTTCAAATACCTATCTTTTTTTTATTCTCAAACTTCTAAATACCTAAACTGTCAACCTCCTAAATTCCTAAAGTTTCCATTTTCTAACTCCTTAAATTTCCCACCTTCTAAATCCTTAAATTTCCAACCTTCTAAATCCCTAAATTCCCAACCTTCTAAATCCCTAAATTTTCCAACTTCTAAATCCCTGAATTCCCAACCTTCTACATCTCTAAATTTCCCACCTCCTAAATCCCTGAATTCTTAACCTTCTAAATCCCTAAATTTTCCACCTTATAAATCCCTGAATTCTCAACCTCCTAAATCTCTAAATTTCCCACCTCCTAAATCCCTAAATTTCCCATCTCCTGAATCCCTAAATTCTCAATCTCCTAAATTCCTAAATTCCCCACCTTCTAAATCCCTAAATTCCCAACCTTCTAAATCTCTAAATTTCCCACCTTCTAAATCCCTGAATTCCTCACCTTCCAAATCCCTAACTTGTCCATCTTCTAAATTTCTAAATTCCCCACCTTCTAAATCCCTAAATTCCCAACCTCCTTAATTCCTAAATTCCCCACTTTCTAAATCCCTAAATTCCCAACCTCCTAAGTCCCTAAATTCCCCACCTTCTAAATCCCTAAATTCCCAACCTTCTAAATCCCTAAATCCCCCACCTTCTAAATCCCTAAATTCTCAACCTCCTAAGTCCCTAAATTCCCCACCTTCTAAATCCCTGAAACGCTAACCTTGTAAATCCCTAAATCCCCCACCTTCTAAATTCCCAACTTCACCATCTAATTTCCTAAATCCCCCACCTTCCACCCCAAATTTCACTCCCTAAAACATCCAATTGTCTCAAAAACCTCGATCTAAAAACCTTCTCAACATCCCCCAAATACCCCCTTCGCCATATTTCACAATTTCACTCAACATTCTTTTCCTATTCCCACAAAAACACGCATAAAATCCTACAACAATTTACATCCATTCCTCCATTATTTCGCGTATGAAACACACTATTGCCTAATGTATTCAGAATAAGTTTCACGAGTAATCGTAGACGACCCCCAGATGAAATTTCACTTTTAACTTTACATAGATGCGATTGCGGTCGATGAAATGATACTAACGTGTTATTACATCACATTAATATTGTACCAAGATTATTCAGGTTTGTTGCATCAGAAATCCTAGGTGTTAAATTATTATCCATTGTGATATTTAAGTATACATCCCCCTCTGTGACCAGCATTTGTCACGGTAGTTCAGGTGGCACCGACATAAGGTCGTCAAGCTTCGTTGCTTCGTATTCTACGCATCTGTTGCTACGTTAAAACCGCACAACAGTCGATAAAATATTATCCCAATATGTAAAACATTGCTTCTATAAAGAACAGAATATTTCTCTTAAATCATTCGCAAATAAATTCGTCAAACAATAGTTTTTATTAAATGTTTCATTAAATATTCACTGGGAGAGTTTCAATAATCAAATACCATATTTATTAGCACAACGTCGATATATGCAATCACTTTGAAATTGGAGATAAATAAACGAAGGGAAATAAACTGATATTTTCTGGTTCGAGTTTATCTCGAATTTATTTAAATTTCGTTACATTGTTGCAACTAATTTATTTTTGTATTTAAGGAATTTTTATACAAATTGTTAGTTTAGTAGGAATTAAAGGTATGAGAACGTAGAGGTTTATTAAATATAAGAATACAAAAATTTAAAAAACAATTAAAGTTATGAAAATTTGAAAATGAAAAAATTTATAAATAATTTGAAAACGACAAAAATTATAAAAATTTAAAAAACAATTAAAGTTATGAAAATTTGAAAATGACAAAATTTATAAAAATTTGAAAATGAAGAAATTTATAAAAATTTGAAAATGACAAAACTTATAAAAATTTAAAAAACAATTAAAATTATGAAAATTTGAAAATGAAAAAATTTATAAAAATTTGAAAATGACAAAACTTATAAAAATTTAAAAAACAATTAAAGTTATGAAAATTTGAAAATGAAAAAATTTATAAAAATTCGAAAATGAAGAAATTTATAAAAATTTGAAAATGACAAAATTTATAAAAATTTGAAAACTACAAAATTTATAAAAATTTGAAAACGACAAAACTTATAAAAATTTAAAAAACAATTAAAGCTATGAAAATTTGAAAATGACAAAATTTATAAAAATTTGAAAATGAAAAAATGTATAAAAATTGGAAATAGAAAAAATGTATAAAAATTTGAAAATGAAAAAATGTATAAATTTATGAAAAAGTATGACATGTTCTCTTAAAGAAATATTATACGAAGCTTCATTTTAAAGAGAGACGATTATGAACGGAGCATAAGCGTATAATCCTCATTTATATGAAAGTAATGTAAGGTCGTTCAGCTTCGTTGCCTTGAGATGCACGCAGCTTGTAAGATTGTAATTTCTTCCACAGAATCCCCGACAAAAGTACATCTGATATTCTAAGAAATCACTCGAACCACTCTCCTTATTATCTTACTAGAGTTACTCCGTGATGCAATACGTTTGATCAATTAGACAAACTCCATTAAAGCCTGGATAATTGGTTTTCGTTACAGGTTACGTCATTTGTTGCAAAAATCCGAGTTGCAATTGAACGCGACCCTAATTACTCTTCGAGGTAATTCTAATGGTAAACACGACTTGTGTAGATTTTGTAATGTAAAGATTCTTTGGGAATTTAGAGGTTTAGGTAATATAGGAGTTTGAAGTTTGGAAATTTGGAAAATTGGGAGATTGATTTGGGGATTTGGAGAGTTGGGGATTTTAGAGTTTGAAAATTTAGAATTTGGAAATTTAGAGATTGGGGGTTTGGAGGATTGGAAGCTTGAAAATTTGGGGATTTGGTGATCTAGGAATTTGAAGTATGGGGGTTTGGAAAATTGGGAGATGGATTTGGGGATTTGGAGAGTTGGGGATTTTAGAGTTTGAAAATTTAGAGATTGGGGGTTTGGAGATTGGGGGTTTGGAGGATTGGAAGCTTGAAAATTTGGGACTTTGGTGATCTAGGAATTTGAAGTATGGGGGTTTGGAAAATTGGGAGTTGGATTTGGGGATTTGGAGAGTTGGAAATTTCAGTATTTGGAAATTTAGAGATTGGGGGTTTGGAGGATTGGAAGCTTGAAAATTTGGGACTTTGGCGATCTAGGAATTTGAAGTATGGGGGTTTGGAAAATTGGGAGATTGACTCTGGGATTTGGAGAGTTGGAAATTTCAGAATTTGGAAATTTAGAGATTGGGGGTTTGGAAGTTTGAAAATTTGGGGTTTCAGTCATTTAGAAATTTGAAGATTTGTGGATTTAGAAAATTGGAACTTAAAGGCTTGGGAATTTGGAAACTTGGGCACCTGAAAATTTGGTAATTTAGAGATTTGGAGTTTGGAGGTTTGGAAATTTGAAAGTGTGGGGTTTTAGTCATCTGGGAATTTGAGGTTTGGGGGTTTGGAAAATTAGAGACTTGATGATTTGGGGATTTGAGAGCTTGGAAGCTTCAGACTTTGGAAATTTGGACATAGAGGGTTTGGAAACTTAAAATATTTGAGTATGTGAGGATTTGAAGAGTTAGTAATTTTAACACTTAAGAATTTTGAAGATTTGGGGAATTTGTGGAATTTAAAGAACTTGAGAAACTCAGGGAACTTAAAGATTTCGAAATTTGTAGGACTTGGTGGTTTGGAAATATGTATATGTGGAGATGTGTGAATGTGAGGATATGTGAATGTGGAGATTTTGAGATTTGAAAGATTTAGGAAATTTAAGAAAGAGAAGGAATTTGAGGAACTTATAGATTTGAAAATTTGTAGAAGTTATTATTAGTGATTTATGGACGTGTGGATGTAGACTTATGTGAATATGGGGATATGGAAATGTGCATATGTGGAAATTAAAGATTTGAAACATTGGAAGCTTAAAGTCTAATGGATTTCTTAACTTGGTAACTTTAGAATTTGAAAATTTAAGGATTTAAGAACGATAACCTTAAAAACTTAAAAACGTACAAACTTGGTACCTAGCAAATTTCAAAATAGAAATTCATATTTAAGATCATTTATTGCAGAAATCTATGTTGCAGTTAAAGGCGTTCGGCCCTAATTTCTCCTTCAGATAATCCCATTCGCAAACACCTTTCTCACAGCCTTCGTAATCCACAGGTACTTCGTTCAAATACAGTCTCACTTTGTTCGAGGAATCGCATCTGTAATTTTGAAATTAATTATTATTATAAATTAGGAATAGTAGCTTGAAGAAGTAGATAAAGTTACTTTAAAACAATTTTTAAAACTTGAAATTTGTATGCAATTATATATTGATTATAAATTGATGAAAGTTTCAGATGAATTAAATTATTATACCTTTTAGAGAGAAATTAGAGATTCGAATAGAAAATAATTGTTAACGTACTTGTAAAAAACAGCTGCGAGGTTCGCTGCAAAAGGTACCAAACGAGATGTGCTCCACTTTCTGTTTTCCATGGTTTCGTAATTCGAAGCTTTCAATGGTATCGAATCTTCGGCAATTTTCATGGCCGTCAAAAGCAACTGCACCGACGAACTGTGGCTGAAGTAGAAAACACCCTGCGGCTCGTCCGATTCCCCGTTCTCCAGTTTCCTGAAATGTTTGTTAATCGATAGTATTGTCATATTGATTCCTGTATAGTTTCAACTATTTTCTGATACGATAAACGGTAGAGAAATAAATATATACATAATAAATGTATTGCTATTTTACTAGTTATTTTACTAGTTATTTTACTATTATTAAATTTAATATTGTGATAGAAATGATGACAAGAGAGTTAACTTTGAAAATACTCACGAGAAGCGATTGAACATGTCTTGCAAAGGTGGACATCCAATTCTACTACTCATTTTTTGTCCATAACCAGTATGGTAATAGTAATACAAATCACTTTTATACTCGATCACTTTTAATTCTTCTTCTGTGAAAACGGCACACCAAGGAGACACTTTGTCCACGTGCCATGCTTTCTCAAAGACGCATGCAGTGTACATGTCCATGACTTCGTCTAAACAATAAAAATTATCGTTCATATAAAGTATAATTAAATAAGTTGACTGCATTGAGCATAATTAACTCAAGTTTAATAAATGAAGTGTACTTAAATAGTTGATTTAGTAGCTGATTAAATAAAATCTAGATCAAATTTAATTTAGATTAAATTTAATAGTTAATTCAGTAAATTAAGCAGAATTAAATAAGTTCACTAAATCATAATTGAACAAATTCAACAAATCAACTGCAATTAAATAAATTCACCAAGTCAAACAAATATAATATACCTGCCTATACCTGTAATTAAATAGCGTTTCCTACCTAGAGTCAGATTATGTTGAAATCCCAATCGTTTACTAATATCATTGATAAGTTTATCGTATCTCTGGCTGTTCTCAAATGCCTCCATTTCGGCGTTGCTTGCAGAATTCTTCGTTTCATTTTTCCAAGCTTTACACGTTTTGTACGCCTGAAAATGGATGAAACATTCATGCAATGTATTGACATTTTTTCGAGGCACTTCGAAGGGTGGTTTCAACCCTTATAGTCTCGATCGATAAAAAAGTTTCCTTTATTTTTTTTATGTGTGTAGCTTCATAAGAATCGGGGGATAGTTTTATGATAATTTGTACTTTTATGAGAGTTTTATTTAGTTATCGTTTGTCTTATGATTTATTTGAGTGGTGCGTCAGTCGGTGCGTCAATTAATGCGTCAGTGGGTGCGTCAATAGGTGCATCAACTGATGCATGAGTTGGTGCGTCAATTGGTGCATCAGTCAATGCATCAATCGGTACATCAATTAATGCGTCAACTGGTGCGTCAACTGGTGCGTCAACTGATGTGCTAATCAGTACGTCAACTGGTGCGTCAATTGGTGCATCAGTCGGTGCGTCAATCGATGCGTCAATCGGTACATCAATTAATGCGTTAATCGATGCGTCAACTGGTGCGTCAATTGGTGCGTCAATTGGTGCGTCAACTGATGCAACAGTCGGTGTGTCAATCGATGCGTTAAGTGATGTGCTAATCAGTACGTCAACAGGTGTGTCAACGGGTGCGTCAATTGGTGCATCAGTCGGTGCGTCAATCGCTGCGTCAATTGGTGCATCAATTAATGCATCAATCGGTGCGTTAATCGGTGTGTCAATGAGTGCGTCAACTGGTGCATCAGTTGGTGCGTCAATGAGTGCATCAATGGGTGCTTCAATTGGTGCATCAGTCGGTGCATCACTTGGTGCGTCAATTAGTGCGTCAGTCAATGCATCAATCGATGCGTCAACTAGTGCATCAGTCGGTGCGTCAATTGCTGCATCAGTCAATGCATCAATCGGTGCGTCAACTGGTGCATCAATGAGTGAGTCAATTGGTGCATTAATTGGTGCATCAGTCGGTGCGTCAATTGCTGCATCAGTGAATGCATCAATCGGTGTGTCACTCGGTGCATCAGCCAGTGCATCAATCGATGCGTCAATTAGTGCATCAATCAATGCATCACTCAGTACATCACTCAGTGCGTCAACCAATGCGTCAGCCAAAACTAATCAAACCTAAAACACCCAACCAAACAAAAAGAATTCAAATACGTCAATGCTGCACTCAGAAATCCTTGACTACGAAACTCCTAATAGCACTTAAGCCTAATAGCACCTAGCCTTAAACCTCAAAATCGCATTAAAACTTCAAGGTAAATTTGTCACCGTGACGTCACGCGTACAAAACAAAGATTAAATAATCTATCGATTTCTATACAATTAAGAATTGTTCTAAACCTTCAGTAGCGTGTCCTCCGAAGTGGGCACCACTTCCGTGCTGTTCAAGGTAACATTGCCAAACAGACCTTCGATGAATCTCTCCATGCTCAGTACAGTCCGCTGAGTGTCCGTTGATCTGAACTATGTAAAAATGGAAAGCAAATCAGACGTAACGAACGTTAAGTGGCAATTTAAACACTTGCCCGCTGTAGTATCTCGAGAACGTACTTTATACTTGTTCGCTAAAGCATCAGCCGAATCGAGATGCAACAGTTGTGGAAAGTAATTCTTGAATCTCGCGGCGAGGGATCTTAAATCTTCTTCGCCTTGCTCCGTCAGGTATTTCTTTCGGTGCTTCAAGGTTTTATCGTACGTCCATGCTCTTAGGTTCTCCAAATCTTTCGCGCATAGATCACCTAAAATGAGAGACGTTTAGAAACAAAATGGCGGCGTTGCAGGAACACTCACTTTCGTTTTCGAGGATGCTGTCCTGCAGCCTTGGTAAATTGCGCTTCATGCTTTTTATCTCTTCACCACTTGGGTTGCGAGTTCCGTGTCTGATCAGCAGCCATATTTGCTTCGGTGTGCAATCTAAGTCGGTGGAATTAAAATTGTGGAATTAATTTAAGGAATAAGTTTATTCCTTTAAGGGGGCGATACCTTTAGAATCTTAAAAAGTTATCAAATTTTTTTTTCTATAAAATGTTAGTGTAACATCTTAAAAATTTGAAAGTGAAATAAAGCCCTTTTGAAGTTATGGCCGATTAGCGCCGCGGGTATACACGCGTTCAGTGCGGAGGACTGAAACTTTAAGGAATGTAAATAAATATTATAGTTATAATTACTTGGTACAGTGGTGTTCTTGATAAAACCATGTGAGAAGTGATAAGCAGTTTTTGTATCAAAGAGTAAATAGGGATGCTCGTCATCCGAGTAACAGCAATTGGCTTCGTCATCGCATGTAACTAATTGATTCTTCAGACAGACCACGGTAATTAATATCGTTAAAATTTTTATATCCATTTCTGCAATCACGTTGACATCTACGGAGCTGCAATTGAAACGATAATAAGATAAGAGAACGATAGTTGTGTGGACGTCGACCAACTGATTCAACGTATACGAACGTTTAATCATTTATATTACATCGCACAATGGTAACATAAATTTTTCTTCGAAACGTAAATCACCTTACATGAATAATACATCAAACGAAGGTCTATGAATTATGCGCCTAGTCAAAAATGTACTTGAAAATTTTTAGAAATTGAATGTTAATATTCTTAGATGCACTCGTAATAAAAATTTGATAAAAGGATCGCACGTCTGGGTGAGCAGTGAATATTAAATATTAATAAACATAATTACCGTTACAACTATTATCGATCGATTTAGACGGAAGTGCAGTGTATGAATATTAATACACACGATAAGTACTGACTAATAATTCGTTTCGATTGTAATATTTAATTAGGCTATTGAATTAATTATGATTACTAATTGTTATGATAATTTGTGTTCTCGTGATGGTGACTAGGGTGTTAAAGAAAGAACGCAAATCTTAAGAGAATTAATAAATAATTATTATTTTTGTATCTTGGAATTCAATCAATAAAAAATTCAAGCTTTTCAGAAATATGACAAATTTTTGTTTGACAATTTTAATCAAAGTTGACGTTTACAACATTAAATTTGTTATTTTGTTAATTTGTTTTTATAGTAATTTTAGTTTGCCATTTTGTGAATTCAAGCTTCTCGAAAATGAAATGGCTTGTGACAAATTTTTATTTGACAATTAAATTTATTTGACAACTTTCAATAATCAGTTTCAAAAACCAAAGTGTTTACCTAAATTCACAAAATTAAATTTCTTATTTCTTACAGTAATTTTATTACGTTTTTTTCTTGTTCAATTTTAAGTCAATCACCAAAGTACGATGAACTTTCATTTCGTAACAGATTAAAGAATAATCAAAAAAGTGTCCAACATATAAAATAAAATCACGAATGCGTAAATACCGAGGAAAAGATATAAAAATAGACAATCTCAGTAAGCACTTACATGAAGGTGTTTCAACAAACGCTCAGGAAGTGATTGCTCACCTGTTGCGATTGACAGATAAAAAGTGTTATAACCTACCGGTTCTGTCCTTTTATATAGGAACAAAATCACGAGACTGCGTCATATCAGTAGCCTCAGGGTTCCATTCTTAATACAAGTGTAGCTAAAAACGAAGTGCCGTAAGGAAACCGAAACATCCTCTACAAAATGGGGGAGGGGTAAAATCATTATAAAAACTGTATTAAAAGTTCAGTCAACTTTCACGTATACTCGTGTTTAACCTGTTTGGATGATTAAATGATTAACAGTAAATGTATGAAAAGAAAAAGTATATGGAGTAGTAATTTTTGGAAGGTGCTTGTTAATACGTGCTTTGATAAGCAGCACGGGATTCAAACGTGATGCTAAAAGTAATCGATATGCGTCAATGAGATATGTAATATTAGCACACGATGGAAAGGCAGATAAATTATTGAATATCGGTGGCGTTGTACGTTCACCTTGTGTACCATATTTTTTGGAAACCCATAATTTTGTGCTGCTCTATTTGAACTTTATTTTTAATAGATTCTCAAATTGGTGTAATTTTCACGCCTTTAAATTTTCAAATTTGCGAATTTTCGCGTGTTCTAATTTTCAAACTTGCGAATTTCCATGTGTTCTAATTTTCAAACTTGTAAATTTTCAGGTCTTCAAATTTTCAAACTTGCGAATTTCCACGTCTCCTAATTTTCAAACCTGCAGATTTCCACGTGTTCAAATTTTCAAACTTGCGAATTTCCACGACTTCAAATTTTCAAACTTGCAGATTTCCACGTGTTCAAATTTTCAAACTTGCAGATTTCCACGTGTTCTAATTTTCGAACTTGCAGATTTCCACGTGTTCAAATTTTCAAACTTGCAGATTTCCACGTCTTCTAATTTTCAAACTTGCGAATTTCCACGTCTTCAAATTTTCAAACTTGCAAATTTCCACGTGTTCAAATTTTCAAACTTGCAGATTTCCACGTGTTCAAATTTTCAAACTTGCAGATTTCCACGTGTTCAAATTTTCAAACTTGCAGATTTCCACGTGTTCAAATTTTCAAACTTGCGAATTTCCACGTCTTCTAGTTTTCAAACTTGCACATTTCCATACTTTAAAATTTTCAAACTTGTACATTTCCATACTTTAAAATTTTCAAACTTGCAAATTTTTAAACTTTAAAATTTTCAAACTTGCAAATTTCTAATCTTTCACATTTTTAAACTTGTGAATTTCTAAACTTTCAAATGTTCAAACTTGCAAATTTCTGAACTTTTAAATGTTCAAACTTGCACATTTCTGAACTTTCAAATTTTCAAACTTGCAAATTTCTAAACTTTCATATCTTCAAACTTGTAAATTTCTAATCTTTAAAATTTTCAAACTTGCACATTTCTAATCTTTCAAATTTTCAAACTTTCAAATTTCTAATCTTTCAAATTTTAAAATCTTGATACCCATATTTGAACAGCTATCGACGCTGACGTACATTTTCGGCAGAAAACCTGTGGTTTCCAGAATTGATTTCAATCTGCTCGATAAATGTGTTAAATTAAAAATAACAAAACGATAGGAATCAGAGAAATTGCAAAACACGTTTCAATATCGTTTTATTCGTAATAAAGTCCGAGTACACAACAGTATGCGTGAAATGTCCGAGCCTCGTATGTAAATGTGGAATAATTATCTTTCTCGGCATCCCATAGAAATCCCATAGATGTTCGTATGCTTTGACCCGCTTTCTCTATGATGGCGACGTTGACTATAATTTTGTACCTAAAAACAAAAGATGTACCCAGAAACAAATTTTGAACGTCGAAAAGTTGCGAATAAAACGTAAACGAGATGCTGCGAAAGAGAAACCTATCGAAGTTCAATTTTTTGATCTTCTCTTTAATATCGGTGGCTATTGATTCGCAAACTTTTGGACATTCAACGGCGTCGTAAGAGACGTCTTCGAGTTTAGTGGTCATCAACATCTGCACAATCTTATCCACTGGATCTACTTTGAACGGATTATGAGCTTCCAGACGATAAGTGTTCTGATATCTCGATACCTAAAGTAGTATTACGGTAAGCTGTATCTATGATCAATCTGTGCTATCGATTAAATATCGTGCAATGGCGCAACGTGATTCAAAGAACTGCTACAGAACGATAAAACTACGATGATTTTACCCAGAAATCTTTTCAAACCGGAGATAAATACAGAATTAATTAAATTAAATAAGCAAAATGTAAAAATAAATATCATATTAGTATACAAAAATCTTGTGCTAAATGTTCGAATGTTTAATTACAATTTTCGTTACCTCGTGTTCGTGTTCTGGATTCGTTAAACAATTCTCTGAATCGCTTTGGAAAGGCATTATATACTAAATAACAAGTGATATTAAATAACAAGATTTATAAAGTTAAGCTTTACGAGTAATTTAGCAATGAATTCGTAAAAGCGTTTGCTTTCGCAAATATTTACGGTACTGTTCGGAATAGTTACTTAGATACCACCAAACAAACTTGATTGATCAATTAAGTCTTAGAGAAGATCAATAAAAGCGTCTTCGAAACCATACGTACACCACAAATGCTTTTTATTATATTTCAACATTGTTTAATTTATTGTGACTTTTATATAGATAATTAATTAAAGACAAATTTATTAAAAACACAAAATTACTTTGTGGTAAGGAAGCTGTTTTTTAAACGAATTTTTTAAATTGTTTCAGTGAACGTACCGAGCGCGCGGTACGTTTGAATCGATATCGATATATGACGTCATATATCGAATCAATTCCGATTCTCGAAGTCATGCGCGGTAATGCGCATTTCGAAAACCGCGTTTTTTAACGGCGCAGCGTCCGTCTTTACGAGTGGAATTTATTTGTTAAATAGTGTGTAATATTGGAAAGTAATAGTATTTTTTTATTGTATTAGTGATAATTAGTGTAAAAGTGATAAATCAACGTGGATTCACCGAGGTTTCTGTTGAATTGGGTGAAATTCGAACCGTGGAGAAGATGATGATCTGCAAAGGTTCGTTTACTACATTAAAAATACATTCTATATAATGTTTAACATAAAATTGCATGAAATTATATGATTTTAATTGAATTAGTCATGTTCCATTTGAAAAATTTATTTTTTATGATGATACCTTTTTGAAATTGACTCCACTTTGGCCTTCAAAAATGGTCAAATTATATTAAATTTAGCGTATATAATACATTTTTTATGCTATTATAGCACTTAAGTAACAATTGTGTTCAATAATTAATAGTATATTACTTGGTTTTACGTTTAGTCGAAGAAGTGAATTTTATGTTAGCGTTATAGGATAATACGTACAAGATGTTAAATATTACATAAATATCCATATATTTGTATATCTTATAACATATTTAAACACTTACATTAACCTAATTAGTTGAATAAAATAAATTATATGTATGACAGATTCACAACTTTTTGGCTTTATCCTATATTATGACACTATTATAAATACGAGCTTAATTTAATATAACAATGTTTAAACGTCTTTCTTTGGCTAAATGTATATATAAATTTGTTATACTAGTTACAAATGTCATACACATGTAACTATTCTTAGAAGCAACATAAAATATAAATAGAGTACATTTTGATTTCAAAGTTTATATCTTTTCGAATGAAATTTGGAATTTTCTTTTCAAAATAAAAAAATTAATAGTACATAAATTTGCAATAATATTAATAAATGTACATTGAGGTTTACACATATGTCTTAGATGCAGCATTAAAATAAATAATACTTTATTTTCATTATTCTTCTTTAGTAAACTGCAATTGGCTAAATTGCAGTTTATTAAATATAAGACATAGGTGCACTCTGTATTTAATAATACAATACATACGTGTATGGTATTATTTACCATACACCATTTCAAATACTAATCCACAAAATATATGTTTGTGCTACTTTACTCTATATGGAGATCAATTGCTACTGACACAGTAAAGGAATTTTGTGTCACTTGGAATGTTGTTCCTCGTTATAATCCAATAACGAACATATCAAATAACAAAACTGCATCAAGATACATTTTACCATGCACAAAATTCATTAGTCACTCTAAGATAACAATTCAACTTCAGTTTGAATATTTCGTCGTGCTTGTTCTTCATATTTTTCACGAAATTCCTTTGTGGCAAAAATATTTGGAATTTGCACAAAGTTCTGCAAAACCTGTTTAGAAATTTATTGGTAGAGTAATATATGATGGGCATACATTTATTGAGTTGCATTAAATTACCTTCAAACGCAATGCAGTGTACATTGGTTCACTAAGAAAAGAATATTCTCCTCGTATTTTATCTCTATATTCCGCATAATTCTCTGGGGATGAGCCTAACACAGCCATATCCAAATCTAAAAAGTAATGGGCATCTTCATCACCAAATGCACCACCAATCTTATGTGCATCAGTACTATGTGTTGCAGCAACTTTAAGTAGCTCACAAGCTTTTTCCCTTAGCTCTGCATCCTGTGCAAGAAAATAAACATATTATTGCTTCTTGCTCACACACTTAATTTTGTGCTATAAAATGATAATTACTTCAGGAACTCCAGCTTCATCAGCGAATGCATTAAAATGTTCCAAATTCTGGTTTTCACCATCTAAAGCTTTGGGATCATATTCAAAGCTATAACATAATTGAAATTTATTATCTAATAACTGTCTAATTTGAGTTTTATAACATTACCTACTTTTGAAAGAATAAGGCAAGGAGCATAGCTTGTGGGTTTTTCAAATTGTCCTTAATCTCGTAATAACAATTTAACTTCTCATGTAGCGAATCTAGATTATGATAAGTACGCTTCTCCTCTGAATAGGCTTCCTGTATTTTTGTAAACCAGGTATCACAGACTGCACTATCAAGATTTTCAGTCGCTTCTTTCCAACTTTCTTCTATAGATGCCATTTTTATCTAAAACCATATAAAATATTTTAATCTTATAATTTTCTTCTCATTTAGTCTAACATACATTTCATTTGAAGAAACTGTTTAATTTGCAAACTTAGGTAGAAAGTAGTTTGTGAAATAGGACAGTATTTCAGTTAGTTTCTCATACTCACTTTATATTAAATCACTCCAACAATATAGTAGTTCAACTTAGAAGTAAAAAACAAGAAACTGTGCTTTTATTGAAATTCTGATTACCGAAACATAATGCGTCGCTGCGGGTGTTCGCTAACTGAGTGAATTCCAATAAAATAAAGTCCACTTCCACTTATTGATCGGATTATGTTCGTGTTTCATCAACGAAATACAGCGCGACTTCTAATTACCATTGTTTTCGTAAGAATTCTCGTTTGATTTTTGTAGAATATTTCATCTAAACGCGGTAAATCACGAAAACATGGGTAGAAGTAAATTTAATTTCTTTTTTTTATAAAAAGTACGATTTATATACACTAATTTGTAATTGAATTGTATTAAATTCGCGGCTGGTTGGTAACCCTTTCGGATTTCCCCATATACAGTGCATATTTTTTATTATTTATTGTAGGAACGCTGATATTATTGTCATTAATCAATGAATTACATTTATGTCTCTGTATCCGCAAATTATTTTGATATCTTTGATAATAAATAATATTTATATACGGCGGCTAGTTTTATTTATCTCAAAGTTTACCGCCACCGGCAAAGAAACATTGCGGCTAATAAAAAATGGAAGTTCTTGATAACAATTTAACAAATATTTTGTTAGAATCACAAAGATAATATTTATTTAAAACATAGGTTGTATCATTGTATGGTTTAACAAATAAATAGCATAGAGGATTTCATTCAATATTCATAACTTTATTGGGTTGTTAGTAACATAACCTAAACGTATCAGACAACAAAAACTAACATATGCATCAAATTTTGCAACATAACTTTCATTTACAAAAAGTTCAAACTGATGGCCCGAGACAAAATGAGAGGTATATACTAAAAGATTGAGTTATTTTTTAGCATAATGTAATCATAAATAATGTTGAATTATTTATAAATTTCTCATTCAAGTTGTATAATTTCTTCCAATGATATATTTCTATATTATCCTCTTCAGTTACAGAATGGAAAATGGATAGAAATATTATCATATTAGTTTACATAGTTTTTATTGGCCCTTTGTCAGTTGCATTGTTTTTATATGGGTTTTTCCCTTTGATAAACTATGATAACACTATAGCAACACATAATAATGTTCCAAAATTTATAGAAAATGTGAGGTGAGTTGATTGAATTTCATGAAATAGTATGGGAAGTTATAGGAGTTCTTTTTGACATATTTTAATCATACTCATTATATATTTTAGAATAAAAACAGATACATTGTATCAGCCAGTGGTAAAAAGATTGATTATTATGGTTATCGATGCTTTAAGATGGGATTTTGTAACAGGGTCAGTTGGAAAGGTAGCAATGCCTATAACAACTAATCTTATAGCAAATGGTTCAGTATGTTTGTTACGTGCTAAAGTACAGCCACCAACTGTTACAATGCCCAGAATAAAGGTGTTGTATTTGAAATAAAATTCATAATTTTGAAAATTGTCAAATATCAAATAATATTTTATGCAATATAGGCAATTACTACTGGCGTAGTACCCAGTTTTATTGATGTAGCTCTAAATTTTGGGAGTAAGCCAATTACTGGTGACAATATGCTTCTTCAAGCAAAGAGAAATGGTCATAAGTTGGTATTTTATGGTGATAATACTTGGCTCACATTGTTTCCTTCTATATTTAATCGTTATGATGGTACTACATCTTTTGTTGTAACAGACTTTACTGAGGTATATTATATTGATGTCTTCATTAAGTTGTTATATAATTCTCATAATTCAATACAAGCTTAAATTTAGGTTGATAACAATGTAACTAGGCACTTAGACCAAGAGTTGTATAACCAGAATGACTGGTCTATAATGATTCTTCATTATCTAGGACTTGATCATATTGGTCATGTTCATGGACCATTCAGTCCATTTATTAAAACTAAATTAAAGGAAATGGATGATGTAATTGCTACTATTCAGTCTCAGATTCAAACTTGGGTAGGTGTACTATATCTTTTTTGGTGATTTGTGAAGTTAATGCATTTAATAGAACAGAAACAATTATGTACATCTTCTATATTTATAAAACTAGTGTAAATTTGTTAACTTTAGAATCAAAATAATGTTTCTTCCTTATTTATTGTCTGTGGGGATCATGGGATGAAAGATTCTGGAGGTCATGGTGGATCAACAATATCAGAAACAACTGTACCTTTCATTGCAATTGGTGGAAAGTGTTCACACAATCCCAATCAGTTTATAGAAATATCACAGATAGATATTGCATCTACATTGTCTGTTATTTTGGGAGTACCAATACCATTTTCCAATATAGGAACTGTTTTTGCAGACACTTTATATGACTTACCTATTTCCAAAAAGTTGTATATACTTTACTATAATGCAAAACAAGTGTTTTATCATTTTCAAAAACTTGCTGATTATGAATCTTTGAGTAAGTAAATTGATTAATTTACTAAAATTTTATATGCTTTTATGTCTTTATAATTTTATAAATGATCATTGTAGATGCATATCAAAAATATTTAAAAGCAGTGAAACTTCACAGTGCTTGGTTAAATACTAAGGATCATTCAAATGATATGATAAACAACATTGTATTTTCTTATAAAACTGCTCTAAAGGAGATGAAAGAAGTTCTTATAAATAGTATGATAAAATATGATTTTCAAATAATAACAATAGCAATATCCTTCTTATGCCATGTAAGAATTAACATTTAGCTTCATAGTTGCATTCACTTATTCCGATACAAGAAATTTAGTAATCGTTTCAGATCACTTGTATTTTGATGGGAAAGATCTGTCCTATGGTAGCTACATTAAAAAGAATATCATCTTTGGTTGTCTTAAATATTCTTTCAGTAGTACTGATAAATTTTATCTGGCAATCTGAAGACATATCATTACTTAATTCAAGGAATTTGTTTTCTTGCATTGTACTGTTGTTTATATTAACTATCTTAGTACTAAATTCTTACATACTCAGCAACATCAAATTTTCAACTCTTTCTGAGGTAAAACCCAAAGTAAGTTGCAAGTAGCTACTGTGAACAGTTGCACTTTAATAAATGTATCTTTTAAACATAGAAATTGAAGAGTAGAACAGGCAAGCAGTTGTTTATATTTGGGGCACTAGTACATGCAATCAGTCTTGGTGGCAGTAGTTTCATAGAAGAGGAGCATCAAACCTGGTACTTTTACTGGGTCACAATTCTTACAGTACTACTTTACAACTCAGCTGCAAAGTATTTTTTTGAGCTACAATTGTAAGAGAGACTATAGTACAGCATAAACCACTATCTTCTAAATAATATAATGCTTGAACATTAAATTACAGCCACAAAAGTTGTCAGCAACACTTTTATTCACAAAATTGTATTAAGCTTTTCTTGCTACTGGTAGGACATAGGATACTTAGGAAACTAAACAGTACAGGGGATAAGTATGCTCATCTGCCTGATATAGCTGGGTATTTGATAGAGCAAGAAAGCATGCTAGGCATGACTATTATACTTGTTGCTGGTAATTACATCATTATCAAAATCAATATGATAAAAAAATGTTCACATGCATAAAAAATCAACTTTCTTAGGTCTTGCACTTCTGATATGGATCGATTTTACATATGGGGATAAAACACATAAGCAACAGACATTAATTACCAGTATTATAGCTAGTTCATGCATTTACCTCCGTCATATGCACAACAATAGTGTACTAAAAATTCCATTTTACCCTTTATCTAGGTAGGTACTAAAAAGACAGCAAACACAATTGCTCAGAACAAATTCAAACCATTTCTTTTGCAGTGGAATATACGAAATGCAGATTTTCTGGAGTTTACTTGCAATTAGTTGCAGTATTTCCATTTATCGTTCAGTATTAACAGTTAAATATGAAAAGACTATGTTTCTCAGGATCACATTGTTTTCTATTCTGCGAATTTGGGTTATGATTTCAGCAATGATACATCAACCACACAATGTCATACTTTTGCCGCTTCAAATTATTTTTAGCAGCATAATTCACAATATAATTAAAGACAATTCAATGCGGGAAATTAGTGTATTTTTATATGCCTGGATTGGCAATGTGTTTTACTTTTATCAGGTAAACTTCATTCAACTAAACTTTTGTCTGTGTAATGATACGAAAGCTTCAGTCTGTTTCATTACATGAAATTAATTTTCTTCAGGGAAATTCTAACAGTTTGGCAACTATCGATGTAGCAGCTGGTTATGTTGGTGTGCAATCTTACATGCCACTAATTAATGGGTCATTGATGTTAATTAACATTTACTCTGCATCTGTTTTGGCCTATCTTTTGCTCGTTTATAATTCTGTGTCACAGTATTTACACAAGTGAGTGAAGTGACTTTTAATGCAAACTTGGGCTGACAGTTCATACACTAAATTTATCTTCTTTTAGTACACCTGAGATTATTACATGGATCAGTAAAATGTATCTTGCGTGGAAATATTTACCACTGACTATTTATACAGTTATAATCAGTATTCAGCGTCATCACTTATTTGTATGGTCAGTATTCTCACCAAAACTGTTGTATGAAGCTGTACATTCCACTGTGATTTGTTTTATAGTGTTCATTATACTAATTCTAATTATAATACAAAAGGCAATAAATTGTGATAGATGATATCTTATGATACTTGTCTTAATTTTCTTAACCTGGGTTTGATCCTAGAGACATTCTTCATAGTTTTCAATAGAAGAAGATAGTGAATTTAAAGAAAGTTTTATTTTAAATTCTCGTTGTTACTTTACAATCATTTACATTTAACTAAATCTTCCTGATAGTTTCTATAAAAGTCAAATATACAAAAGGAGCATAGTAGCATACATAAAATGATCATTTCATAAAAAACCATAGAAATGATTTGTGTAAATAAGTAGAATTCAAGTTCTAAACGATTCGCGTATGTATACTTTTAACCGTGTATGGCTTTTTAACGATGTACAACATGCAAGTTGCGATTAAAATTAGAGTAACCAATCTCGAACACGAATTCGAAGGTGAAATCCGAATTTTTTCGGTACTATGTATAATTCGAATACATCAAGTACACCCTGATTCTCGTACTAGCCTTAATTAAAACATTTAATCATACGAAATCGATTTGAATATCATCGAGAGAACAAAATGTGCTCTGCAGTGTCCTGTAAATTGTTCGTGTGCATTGAAGTATCATTTTGTCGCGTACTAACTATTGTACATTTCAAATGTTCATCTCTCTACATTGAAACTATAGATCATACTAGTTTACAAAGCCACTTGCCTAAAACATTCACACAAAAATAAACGGTATCTAGTCATGCAAAACAGACATCCTAAAAAAGAGAACTCGATTTAAAGCATATTATCGGTCGATCGTTGAAAATAAATTATATTCTATAGGAACACAATAAAATCAAGGATAATAAAACTTAACAACGTATCTGTATTTCTCCTATGAATAATACTAAAATTACTAGGTCTAGGCAGCAGCGAAATGTTTAATAATGCTTCGTGTAATACTTCTTCCGTAATTGATGACATTTGTATAAACAAATACCAAATGCTATCAAGTAGTTTATGAGAATTGTACACGTTCGATTAGATTAAATGATATTGTTTAAGTTTGGAGATCAGAGGCAAGACACATTGAAATCAGACTAAAGTATTGCACAGCATTTGTGTATATTCAAGAGCGTCGTAGGCTTCCTTGGGGGGAAATAGTGGTTTCGGGAGAAAAGAGCTGGGTTGATTAGATTTGAGGATATGGAATTTGAAAATTTAGAAATCTGGATATTTAGGAATTTGGAAATTTGACAATTTGGGGAATTTCGGAATTTGGGGAATCTTGAAATCTAGGGAATTTGGAATTTGAAAAATTAGAAATTTGGAAAATTGAAAATTTAAGCAATTTTGATATCTAGGGATTTTTGCAATTTGAGGAATTTCCAAATCTAGGGAATTTTGTATTTGGGAAATTTTGAAATCTAGGGAATTTGGGACTTCTGAAGTCTAGGGAATTTTGGAAGTGGGGGTTGGAATCTAGGGAATTTTTGAATTGGGGAATTTTGGAATTCAGGGAATTTTGGAATTTGGGAATTTCGAAATCTAGAGAATTTTGGAATTTGGGGAATTTTGGAATTTGCGGAATTTCGAAATCTAGAGAATTTTTGAATTTGGGGAATTTTTGAATTTAGGGGATTTTGAAATTTAGGGAATTTTGGTATTTGGGATTTGAAATTAAAAAAATTCGGAAATTTAAAAATTTAAGTAATTTTGAAATCTGGGGAATTTTGGAATCTAGGGAATTTTGAATATATAACGAACACAAAAATTGTGGAAATCTGAAGTACATTTGTATCGAAAGGAAGCCTACATCGCATCGAACTGTACATTACAATTAAATTAATTACACTGTATCGCCGAAACGTGGCACAATTGCACATTGCAACCCACTAATATCTATAAAATATAAAATCTAATACTTTCGTATTATACAAAAATATAAATATGTATTCCGACGTTAACTTCTCGAATTACGGCAAACAATTATACGAATTTCAGAGGTACGTTCGAACATTTTAATCGTGTTCAAGGCATTCAAACGAATCAACTTTAAACAATACTTTAGAAACATTTCGTGAAACACAACTTATTCAACTAGAAATCGATATACCTTGTAACATTATTCGTACATTAAATTTTCGAGTAGATCGATGTTGAGGAAAGCCCGTAATAAATACTTGATAAATTAAAGATTTAGATAATTATGCGAGACTCGAGTACTTCAATTTCCTTAACTCTCTTATATTTACACATTTTATCGTTATCTACCTCTTTTTATCAACACGCTCCTGATTTTCCGTTCAACATCGAAAGTCTTTAGAACGGCGAATTCATTCCTAGTTTTGTACCAAATTCTAGCCGTGCCCTCTTTTGATACCTCACGTTCACTCTGAAAATGATTTAACGATTAATATCAAATATTTCTTAATATTTCAAACAATTTTATTTTTCCCCCTTGCGCTACAATTTAAATGCACTTGTAATTTAAATATGATTTATTTTCAGTAGTCTGAATTTTCAGTATAGGTGTAATAATTTGTGTAATTAATCGCTGAATAGAATACCTATGTGGTATCTTAATTTTCTTTATCGTGACATTGTAGATAATAGTTCGGTGCGTCTGACGCACATCTTCAATAAATCGTAGCGCAAGGATAATTCTACTTACTTAATTTCCTGCCACTTGATCAACTCGTTGATCGTGAAGATCAACGGCAACGAAAGTAAGAAAAATAAAGGAATATGCAGAGGAAACTCTTCGATGTTCTGACCCTCTTCTTTCCAAAATGTGTAGAACACAGTCCCTGAGAATGCTGCTTGTGCGCATAATCTAAAAAATAATTTCCGATAACAACAAAATCACTCACATAAACTGCAAACTTTTTACTCACGCTATAAATGCACTTAAAAACCACACGAAATTGTTAAAAGGTTGTTTCTTCCAAATTGAATACTCTCTATGTACAAAGCCTATAGATATTGTTACTGTGAACAGACAAGATTTAATCAATTTTTAATTTGAACTATCACATAAACAACCATGAGATCTTCAATAAATTTACAGATTGACTTAAATCTCTTTTTTCATGTACTTTTATTTTTCATTTATGATTTCATTTTTCATCATCATTCTATAATTTTTTAGAGGACGAAAACAATTTTTTTGAGGAACTCTATGTAGATGTAAAATTGATAGTTTATCGAAAAACAGTTATTCGATTAGAGTGGCAATGCGATAGAATTATACAGGGTGCTTCCAGCGTGTGGATATCTAACGCGTAGTAATCCAGCGTGTGGATATTCAACGCGTAGTAATCCAGCGTGTGGATATTCAATGCGTAATAG